CATATATTAATTTTAATAAGTGTATAGAAATATAATTAACAGTTTTCCATTTAAAAAAATTAAAAATAGTAACTTTTGTTAAATTTTTAAGCAGCAAATTTTTATACTTGATAACCGACTTTAAAAGCACCTTTTTATCTTCATTTAAAGTACACGATTTCAATAAACATCGCCATTTAATACCCACTTATGTAACGCGATATTTATGGAAAATTTAATCATTTAAAAATTAAAACTAATAAAATGTTGGCCTCTTCATTATACACTTGTGCAATATTTTCCATCGTAACGTCAGGATTTTTTGTTTACTAAATTTTACCTAACAAAGTATACATCGTTTCATTTAATAATTTCTAACAGCCATAAAGCTACTAAAATAGTATTTATTTGTATGTTCACAGCATTTTTCCGCAGGGAGATTAAAAAAGTTTAAGGAAGAATAAACCCCTCAAGCATTTTTTTCCATGTAACACGAAAAAATAGAGATTTTTAAAAACCCTGTTTGGTTACAAACATTTTTTTCAAAAAAATTTTATTCCGTGTAACACAAAATCATAATAATTCTAAATTACGTTGAAATACAGTGAAACCTGACTTAACGAACACCTCCCTTAATGGGCAAAATGACTAGGTCTCGGTAAAAAGATATGTATTCCAATGTATTTCGACCTGTCTATAATGAACACTAATATTTACCCCGGTGATTTCATAACGGATAAAAATCCTAGTTAAAATCTAAATGTACATGCCATATGTATGTACAAACTACTAAACAGTGTCAATACAGTACGCAATTAGGTACACGTGAAAACATTAATTATAACCATTTAGCGATTACATTATCGCCGATTTTGATAACGTTATTTGATAACGTGATTAAATACTATAAGTACCTATTGAATTAATGAAGATGAAATGCATACATATGATTTAACAAAAATAAATCCAGTTATAAATTTAAATAGGTACGTATAAATGATAACCATAAGTAAATCTAACGTTTTTATTCAGTTTCTATATCCATTCGCAGTAAAAATTGTACATATTTTTCTTTGCAATGCCACCTCTTGTATCGCGTAAAGCTTTTTTTTTTTTTTTTTTTTTTTTTTTTTTTTTTTTTGCTTTAATTCAAAACAAAAGGTGGACATTGTTCATTATAAAAATATAAAAACTCTAGCGGTTTGTCTATTTTATAGGTACTTATTATGTACAATATTAATAAAATATACGTATAAATTTTCTTTTTCATTGAACATATTATGTGTGTAGATTAATTTTATTTTTAAAACACTGAAACCTGTCTATAACTGTCAACTGACAATTATTTTGGTTCGTGACTGTCCGTTATATACAGGTTTTAGTGTACATATCTTTTTGTCAAGACCTAATCATTTTGTCCGTTAAGAGAGGTGTCCATTAAATCAGGTTTCACTGTACCATAAAATCTGCATCCGAGTACAAAGAACTAATTTTGCTACCATATTTATTTTTTATTGCATTATATAATTAAATATAATATAATATAATATTTTTTTCAAAGTCATTTTTTCAAAAAAACTTTTAATTTACATTCCGTTAGAAGGGAACGTTAATTAAATTTAAAATAAATAGGCTTAAAGAAAAATAAATTAATAACATCTTTAGTTTGTTTTAATATCCTTTAACTTGGTAAGATTATTAATAATCACCTATAATAAAACATTTATAATTATCAGAAAAAAAATGTAGGTTATACTTCAATTTTAAAATGTGATACACTAATCCTATAGTTTATACTTAATATAAACCACTTATAATACTAGTCAATTACGAGATTTAAAAATCATTATGATTAAAAAATAGTATTATATTTAACCGTATGAGTTATTAAATTTTCGATTATTGGTGTATGGATATTAAATTATTATTATTTTAAGTTTCTTAACATAAATTAACTATAAATAAAATTAAGTTTAATAAGATTATTTATTTGTATCTATTTATCAATATAGTATACATATAAGAATAAAAAACAATACATAGAAATAAATACTTACATTTTTGTTTGTAAAAAGATTTTTAAAATGTTTATCTTCTACTGTAGTCCGCTGTGTTTACTTGTGTTCCCAATGAAACTGATGATATTTAAAATATATTCCCTAGTTATACATAAAGCAGCAAATTTCTATCCATGTAACCATTAACTTGACCGCTAACATCAAGAGTGACTATATTATACAAAGATATGTTTTTTTTTTTCAATATACTCGGTAATAATAACAAGTTAATATTCGCAAATAAAAAGAATGCTCAAGGAAAATCGCAAATTAAATATACTGGTTTGACCAATCTGGCTCTTAAAACTTAAAATTAATTACATAATAAACGCTCCCAGGAACTTTTTTTTCAACAATACCTGGTTAATATTCACGAGTAAATAAAATGCTCTAGTGGAATCATGAATTTGATATACTGATATGACTTAATTCAACAGCTACAATGAAATTATATCATACTTGTACCGGCTTTCATAAATTATTATATCTATAAGAATAACAACTTAAAAAATATTTGAAGAAATAGTCTAGTCAAATAGCGCGTTAAGGGCTATTTACTTACTTCCTTAAATCATTGAACCTGAAAATAAACCTTAACATATTTAATTTAATTTAGACGCATTATCCCACTAGACTATACGTTCACGGCTGTACACGATTGCGCCCGGCTTACCTTTTTCCATTCAAAAAATGCAACACGATAGCGCCCAACCAATTAGCACGATCGAACCCGTTTTATCTTTTTACCAGCACAAAACATGACATATGACATTATTGTGCTCCAATATATGTATATATGTCCCTAATATATAGATTCAAAATAGGTTGAACGCATCAACAATTATGTCAATTAACAAATAATTATAAAAATACTTTTTTTGTAAAATTAGGGCCCCCAAAAATAAATTAACCCTGGGCCGGCAAGGCCGTTAATTTCATTTATCCGGCTCTCAGGACTACTGGTAAATTTTTAAAATTCCGAAAACAACCGTTGAGGGTAATCAGTCAACATCCCGTATATTAAATATTAATCTTCGACACAGCAAATTATCGAATTGCACGAATTTCACACTTCGGCAGCTACTCGTTGTGTTTCATCGTCCTCAAATCTTAACATTTACATATTATACAGTGTATCGTCTACTATTTTTTTAAACGTATATGTTTCAAAATTAAATCTATATAGTGATTTCAAAGTGAATGTGAAAAACTCAAAATCTATAATGAAATAATTGAATACTATCAGGTTTTTCTACTTATTTGTCAATTTAGGCATAATATTACATTAGGCATATTATGCAGTTTACACAACGTTAAAAAACAAAAATCGTAAACATATAAACATATGAAATCTTATAGGCCTAAAATACGGTTGGGTGCGGTTTTTTAACATTTTTAAGATTGCGCCATCGTTAAAAATTTACAATACTGCCTACTGACCTCGTGTGGATATCCTTAGCTTATATATTATCTAATAATCAAAAAAAAAAAAAAATGTTAAACCGTTTATTTTCGTGTTCCTTGAAAATATGAGTTGACCAATTTGTAGAATTAATATTTATGTAAATGTTTTGAAATCTGAATTGAGAATTTTCATTAAGTATTGAAATAATTAAACATGCTATATAATTATAAGTTACAATCAGAAAATAGAAAAGTATTTTAGGTACCTATGTTAGGTATATTTATATACAGTAAGTGATTAGAAGTGTTCGGTGTTCGGGAACAAACATCAGTAGGTACCGTATTTAGAATTGTGTTGCCCTATGACCCAAGATATAGACTATACATTTATTTACTGCATATCTCTTCCTTCCCTCGCCCATAACTACAAATTCATTAGGATGATCTTTTTTATATTTTGATCTCCGCTTAAATATAAAGCCATCTTATTTGTATGCTACTAGATACAGAGTTACTTATAATAGCCATTTATTGCTTAAAATTATTTTTACCTCAAAATGTTGATGTGCTGCAAAAGTCCAAATTAGTTATGAAATAATTATATTTATAGCTAATTGATCATTTAATCGAGTATTAAACTTTGACGTGTACAGTAATTACGAGGTAGCAATGACCTGTGAAACACCTCGACGCCGTACATACCGCATGTTTAAGTATTAGACTGCAGTGGCGTATTTACAAAGGACTATGACCAAAATTATATTTTCCACACAAAGCTTTTATTATTTTTATATTTTAATTATAACATTTGCTTAGTAAATAGAAATGTGAAAGGAAATTTTAGGTTTAATTTTTTTTTAAGGTCATTACCCATCACCTCCCTCTCCTCAGTCCATAAAAAAATATCCCAAGAACTATACGTTGTATGACAGATGACTAGAATATATATATACGTAGTAGACTGTAGTATAGACCTATACGTATAACGTATAGACCTACTGCGATTTCATACATCAACATCACCATGTGAATCATACATTTTTATACGTCTGATGACCGTTACTCCGGTGACGTGACCCAGAGGTCTAATACGGTGGGGGGCATTATAAAATGTACTTGCAACATACACACGTCTAAGGATGTAGGCCTATACAGCAGCAGCAATATTATAGCGGTTTTCGAATCTTCCGAGGCGCGCACGGTGTTAAAATCGCGCGACCAGTCGCAGTTTTCCCCCGCAGACCAGTCGAATGACGACCGTCATAATAAAATAATTTAGATTTTTTACACACGCACTACGCGTACACACAGTAACGATATGATAAAATAATGTCAGCGGCGGCGGATAGGTATAATTCCGATGTACACGCCGCGCCGTCGCGGTCGGCTGGAGCGTCGTCGCGCAAAGCGCATGCAAGCGACCGCGTCGGCGTCCGACATTCTCGTCCCGAAAACCAGTTCCCCCCCGGGTTACCACCACCTAGGTAACCGTCGAACCACGCACAAGCGTATAATTCATTCGTAAAAACCACCGTGTGTGTGTGTGTGTGTGCATGGTACAACACGCTGGCACGATGCATTACTATTATTGTTGTTGTTGTTGTTACCATCATCATCATCATCGTAGATAGTCCCCATTGTCGCCGTGTATGCGGTTTTGTTCTGCGCGCGTTTCCTCCAGCAGTCAGTCGCGTGTGCACAGAAATCACGAGGCTTTGCACATTTTTGCTTTGTTCGTCCGCGTGCGTTGCGCGACAACGCTGGACAAGTCTTTCGATCGCGCATAAAACCGTATGATCATAATATTATAGTATTATTAATTTACCGTAACTCGCCTGCCCATATTAAATTTAGGCGCATGTCTGTCTGCAATTTTACATAAGTAAAACACTGCAGTATTCTACGCTCGCGCGTTAAATCCATTTTGACGATCACGCCATACTCCAAAGGTTAGGTTAACGTGATAATACACTCACGCTTATGCAATATACCTACCTTTACGTTGTATTATAGGTACACAATATTATTTTACGTGTACTACAGTTTTTTTTTTTTTTTTTTGTTACAGACGACATGGAAAGACAACGGGCAGAGTCGACGTTCACCATCATTTCAAAGGTCAAGAATTCGCCCAACGTGAACACTATGGTGAAATGGCTAAAGTCCAACAAGTTGCTCATATTAATCTTGGTATCGGTCGTATTCGGAGTGCTCCTGGGTGAGTGTGTGTATATATAAACGACGGCCAGTGAGATGTAATAATATACGCGTAGATGTTCCAATATTAAGTGCTTAAACAATTGCTGTAAATATAAGGTTCATTGTATAGTATTCGTTGACAGTTGTTGCGATTTTATTTTTTTCTAAAATCATTAATACCCCATCAGAGTTTCCATGCCAAGTAGATACAGAATCTTTATCTATATATTTTTGTCACTTCTCTATATATAGCTTCAGTCCAGATGTGAGGAAAAATCTAAATTTAATATAAATTATTACGCACCAACTACCTGCTGCATAATATCACATTATGTGTACTTAGTGTACATGTATTTTTTTAAATAATTATATTTTAAACACTTACATATTGAAACATGATAAATATTTGTACTTATGGATAAAAAAAAAATGTCTATTTAATCATTAAATGTAGTAATTGATCTAAAAATTACCCAAAATATTGTAATAATAATTTATGTAACACATTAAACACAACGTATATTTTTGATTAAACATAATTTTAATAGTATCTACTAACTGGTACAAATTTGAAATTATTACATATAAAATATATTATTTGTATTTTATCACACAAATCCTAAGTATACTTATTGAATCGAATACAATACAATTTCCTTTACTTAAAGATAACAATAAGTGCCTATATACAACAATAAAATATTTAAAGTTATTAATTTTCACGAAGAAATGCAATCACTTTAAATCAACTAAACAGACAAAATGGACTAGGTACAGCCTTAAAGTCTCCACAATTTTGTATATAGTATGATAATATGATATAAATTATTATTTAATAATCAAAAATTTGATGACCTGTTTATAGTTTATTCAGTGCCCTCTCAATATATTCCACTCAAAAACCACATTATAAGTAAATTCTTCCTAATGTATAACTATAATATAAATATTAGCTTAGCTCATATTTATCTAACATAGACAGATTATTCAAGCAAATTTAATATCATTATTAAATAAATGATATACCTAAATTACTTACATGATAATGCATGTTTGTATGCAAATACTTTTCGTTTTAATTTATTAATAAGTTTATTTTCTAAATGGAAACAATTTGAATAAAATGAGTGATGTAAACACTTGTGTTTACGTTAAACATCAATTGTTTAATTTGAATATAATTATATTTGAATTGGTAAATTAAAACTACAATCTTTTTGAAAATCTTAAATTACCCCACTCATAATCAATGATGGATTCATAGTTTCAAATTTATGATTAATAATATTTTCCACTTCTCTGTGCCGTTTAGAGCGAAGTGAAATAAAACCCGATGTCTGTATTTATATAATATAATAATGTATTAATATATAAATCCGGTCTTATATTTTTTTAAACGTGCACCGTCCTAATTTTTATTCTTAAACATTGTCAGTCGTTATTAATAAATATAAAATATTAGAAAACTATATATTCGATAAAAATTAATTTTATTAATCTGAGAATTACTTTTTTTAGTAACGATTACTCGTTTAATAATTTATTACATAAAAAAAGAACATTAAATATTTGTAAACGTATACATACTTAAACTTCACAGATAATATAATTTATACAACAATAATCATTTAGATGAGAAATAACATAGGTATAAAATGGACGAGGGCGTAGGATTGCATACAATGCGAGTACTTGTAAGTACATATTTATCACAATACCAATACTAACAGTATTTACGGTCTATCTAAGTTAAAGAAAATGCAAATATATGAAACTCGTAACCTTGAATCTGCTCAAGGTCAATAATTCTATATTTTCAATAAAAGAAAAAGTATTTTTATTTTTTTATTTTTTGTATTCAACACAACAAAAAGTTGAAATCAGTAGTTTATATTATTTATACTATTTAGAAATATTATAGGTACTTTATATATTTTTACGGACTCAGCCCTTTTTTACATAGACATAAGTTTTTATGATATTTAGATATTAAATTTAAGTATTGTGAACATTTAATATGATTTTTTAAATATTTAATTTGACTAGTACATTTTTCTTCGTATTTTTTAATTCATTTTTGAAATAATAATCATTAAACAATAAAAATTCATAATTAAAGAATAATCTGCGTTAAATTTTAAATCGAATTGTGTAGGAATATTTGTATAGTTTTAAATTACTTATTTACCGATCAAAAATAAAAAATACACGTACACGTATGACGTATTCCTTTGTATGGTATAAAACTCTCCCTCTCTACATCCAAATCTAATACCATACGTATTTATAATAATATATCACAAAAAAAATATAAAACTTTATTAGAATAAATTTCTTCTATGTATTTATTATGTAACATTCATTACTTTATTTTCTACTAAAAAATATGTAGAAGTACGTAATTTACAAATCATTAGTTTATTTGGGTTTTTATTTTTATTTTATCTGCAATTAGTGCTATATTCCTAACGGTATTTTAAAAGTTCTCATAAAAATGTATATATTGAAGTTGTTTTGCTTTTTAATCATATTAACAAAATAAAAATTAATTAATTATATAAAAATAAACAATACGTATTAACCAGTTAGAACAATTTTTTTTTTTTTTAATTAATGATTATAAATGCAACTATTTAAAATTTTATATTGACCTGTGGTTATAAGAATCATTAATATATATCATTATTTTTTACCATAATTTCACACCTAATTAAATATTATATGATATATCAAAGTTTTTAAAAGACATCGATTTATCATTTAATAATGCACTATTTTTTATAATGCTATATAACTTATACTTTATTATAATCTATATAAATACATTTTTTTTTAAATAACAACAATAATTTATCATGATTTCTAACAAACATGATAATATAACGTGTTTAATTAATTAAAAATATGATATATTTTAAAACAAATTTCGAATCAAAATTTAACTTAAAACTTTTATATTCTACATTTTAGAATCTCGGAATAAATAAATGTATTAAGATGTTTACAATGCAGTCTATTATTTTATTAATAATACCAAATTATATAATTCATTCAATGCATTTGATTTCAGGATTGACATTAAGACCGTTGCATCTTAGCAGTGACACAATCACTCTAATTTCATATCCTGGTGACCTTTTCTTAAGGACTTTAAAGTTGATGGTGTTACCATTCATTATATCGTGTATAATTATAGGTAAGCATAATCTTTTTACTCATGTTTCAATAGCGTGAACAATTCAATGTACCAACCAACAACAATTATTAAGTATTCAGTTATTAGAAACTGATGAGTGATGACTCATAAACAAAATTAAAAATCAACTTGAGCCGCATACAAATACATTTCATAAACATAAATCGTTTTCAGTTTGATTAGTTTTACAACGTCTAAACTCTAAACCATTCTGAATGTAAAAATGATTTTTTATCAATATTTTCCTCACAAACATTTTTTTATCATTTATATTTATAGTTGCATGATGATTTCTAATGTCTGTTGAAACAGCCGAGAATTTTAGAGTATAGATGGAGTTTGGAATCTACTTATTAGTGAATAATAAATCAATCATATTTTATGTGTTATTAAAAATAATAAGTACATTTATAATATATAATGAGAAATACGGTGTATATTTTTAACTTATATTACAGCTTTATAATACTTTGCAATTACAAAAAAAAAATCCATTTCAAACATGTCAAATTTCAATTTAATTCAGTGATTTCCTTAAAATCTACATAATACAATATTTAATTAGTAATATTTATGTAAACGTATTATTTATAGTAGTAAATTTGTGACTGAATCGTTTAAAAAAAAATTCATTCGTATCATTTGGTATTTTCAATGTTTTTCCTTTGAATTTAATTTTTTGTACGATATTATTAAAAAGTATTTAAACTTAAATTTACCAACTAAATATTATATTTATAAATTATGAAAATTATACAAAATGTTTATTCAACGTAAGACACAAACAATTATTACTATGAAATGATTGACTACTTAATCGTGATTTAATTTTTATGCGTAGAAATACTTGGTAAAATATTAGGCATGTTTAGGATTCGGAATATAGAGTTAAAACTTAAATCTGTAGATTTAGTACTTTAAATACTTAAATTAATTAAATTTTATAATATTAAGAGTTAAACTTATAAATATATAATAATAAAATATTTTAAAAATCTATTAATAAAGTATATTAATAGTATTAGTACTCAACAGTAACATTGATCATAAGAAAAAATAAGACTAAGGTATATTTTTTCTGCAACTAGAAAACATAACGTTTGAATCTGGACAATGTTACAACCTAAAATGGTCGACATATTGATAAATTGCTATTCTACTGCTTGCTGTATCGAGATATTGAAGAAAAAACCAATAACTCAATTACTTTATTATTAGCTTTATTGATATTAATTGGGGTTATTATTGCAATATATAATACATATTTTAATATTTACTATTTAGATCGTTGTAGGTATAACTTGCGTTTTTATGTTCCGTAATCAAATATTAATACTGTTTAAATTTATTACTATAATATTGTAATATTGTACTTTATCCACGAATACTTTCATTTTTTTTTCTAAATATAATTTTTATTTCATGTATGACGTTTTATTAACCTTTGAAATTATGAACGTGAACAAAAATTATAATGTTCCAGTTTTTGTTATTTTATTTTAATATCATTATTACACAAAGTACAGAATAGAATTTAATAAATTGTAGTCCAATTTATTATTATATTAATATACTTGAGACTATATAGTTTATAAGTGAAGTCGTGTTTATATCTATCTATAATATATAAATGTGAAAATGTAAGTCGTTATCAAGCATGTTCTCTGAAACCACTCATTCGATTATCTTGATTTTTTTTTTTTTTTTTAATGAAAGAATACATCGCAGAGCAGGTTTTAAGCGTATTTCTGATTCTATAAATTAATGAAGAATCAAGTTGTTAATTTTTTTAATAATTGGAAAATACGTACATAAACACATTTTTTCATTCATATTACATATTATTAGTTATTACTATAAGTTAGTATTTTAGTGAATAGATAATGCAGTATTACAAAAATATTTCGTTGTTTTTCATTTACACTATTAAAACTTAAAGAGTTGATAATTTTTGGTCCAGAGTAAAAATAAAATATAATTTAATAAAATTTGAGTTGTTCAACAAAAAAAGAAAAATAGTTTAAAAAAAATACTGCTGTTAAATTGTCAAAAAAAGCAACGCTGAGCGAGACAGCTATGTAAAATTAATAAGTCAGAAATATCATCCATACGCCAAATCAGAAAACCAAAAATATTATTTATCAGCACGCATTACTCTAAATATTAACATTGGACAACCAAATTTAACGCGAAAGCATTTTTACAATTGTTTACGGGGATAGCTATTTAATTATATACATCATGAACAAACTTTTTCCTAGGTGCTGCTAATTTGGACATCAGCAAAAACGGCAATGTCGCAGTCCGAACAATTGTATATTTTGTCCTTACGTCTGTTTTTAATGTCTGCTTGGGGTTAACGCTTGGTCTGCTCGTTCATCCCGGCAGTCCAGATTTAAGGTTGACAAATACAACGTCATTTTCAGGGCCTAAAAAAATGAATGTTATGGATGGATTTTTAGATATGGGAAAGTAAGTAAAATATTAATATAACCAATTTTATTCATTGTACGTCACAGTTAACAATTCAAATGTGGTCAATGGCCAGCATTTTTATTTTTTTTATCAATCAAACTGTATTTTAGATATTAAAATAAACATTAAATAATAATATACTATCTTTAGTTTTTAATTTTTTTGTGCTTTATCTTTTTTTTAGGAATTTATTACCAGAAAATTTGTTTCAAGCTACAATTCAACAAGTAAGAAATAATTAATACTATTCAATATTTGTATAATATTATAAAAGTATTAATATTTTCAAAAGAACTGTTACTACTCAATACTCGTATTTTATTAATTGTTTTCTTAAATTTAAAAATATAATAAATAATTTAAAATATGACCACTTTTTAAATCGCCTTTGAAACACACACAGTTTATAATCTTGAAAAATTATAAATATAATTATTATAACTTTTTCAAATTTACTCATTATAAAAAATTACTAAACATCACCTTCACTAGTTAGGTTTTTATCCAGTATCTATATAGTAGTAAATTTCGTTTATACATTAATAATTGCCAATATTTTTCAGACATTAACCGAATACGAGACCGTCATGGGTATTAATAACACGAAAACATTGAAAAAAGTCGTTAAATACAAGTAATAATACAACATTTGTGTAATTAATTGTAGATAATTATAAATATTAAAATTGCCTAAACTTTTGATTTTATTCGATATATTTATACTTAAATCGCTTTCATTTAACATACATATTACATTTATACACACACTCACGCATATATCTACGTATACAAATCATCAGCGCCACCACGCCAAAATCTGTTGTTTAACAACTCGTCTTGAAGAAAACTAACAATATTTTTAATCCTTTTGCAGGGACGGTACAAATACATTGGGTATAATATTCTTTTGTCTGATTTTTGGAACCGTACTGGGCACGATGGGCGAACGTAAGCAACCCGTTTTGAACTTCTTCACAGTTACCTACGAAGTGATGCAAAAGATACTCACCGGAGTGATTTGGTAAATGTTGTAAACTGCTTGTATGCATTTAATACAATTTATATAACTATAGACTTAATACACACATACACACATATACACACACATACACACATTCATATGGTTTGTTCGATATCCGTCCTCCGGGCGATGGAAGATACTCCTACAATCGTCTTATTCGTCATCCATTTATACCGTATTATAGTATAAATAACATAATATTATATTGTTACACGTACACCCAGTAACCTCTATTACAGAACATATCTGTAGGTTTACGCCCATTGGAGTGGCCAGCGTTATATGCGGGAAGATCATCACACTGTCCGATCTCACTAACACGCTGGTCCAACTCAGCTTATTCATCGTAACGACGGTCGGCGGTTTCCTATTCTATCAACTGATAGTCATACAAATCATTTATTTTGTAATTGTGAAGAAGTCTCCATGGTCGTACTACGTGTCACTAGGACCAGCTCTAGCGACCGCGTTTGCCACTGCTTCCAAGTAAGACTCGTTTTCGTTGATGAATAATTATAACGCTATTAATCAAATATCACTCCGTGTCCGAAAGGTTAAGTAAACAAATACAAGCAATAAGCATACATTTTTCGACATTTTAAGAATAATGATTATTGCACTGTTCGTTTTTGCGAAATATAACTATAATATTATGCTCTACTTAAACGCTAAATCCATACTACTTAGTACCCATGTTTACACTGCATAGGTATAATGAAAACCAAAGTTTTGTCAAACAAACAATATATTAATTCCTATTAAACATTATAACTGTAGGAATTGGATTTATATGCACTAAAAAATTGTGAAATATTTTCTCAAAAATATGCGTTCAAGCATCAAAAATTCCCTAAATATGCAATGGAATAAATCCGTTAAAACCATGTTTTATTTATGTAAAAAAAAATATAATTTTAATTAAAATTAATATGAAATAAGTAATGGCAATGGTTATTTATTTATTATTATGTAGTTTGTAATTACAATTTCTGAAAAACGATCTAAAAATTATAAAATTATATGATAGATATCAAATAATAGTTAAGTAGACTTTGAATTTATTATTTATTTATTTATTTTTTTTTTATATATATATTCATTACTAAATTGGCAGTGTTTAAAAAAATGTATTTTCATCTTCTCGAAATTTATACGTATTAAAACTTAAATCTACTATAAAAATAAAAAGTTTTTAAATATTATGCACTAATATTCTCTAAAAGTAATCATAATTTTAATCACACTTTCATTATATTATATAATATATTTTATAATCAAAATTATTTTTTAAGTATATTTTGAACTTACTTAATAGTTAGCAAACAATACGGTCAACCAGTAAAACTATGCAAAAGCCACTTATAACTGATGATAGTTACAACTTAAAAGTGTATCATACTATATACTGTATAAGCAAATGTATAATCAATAACGATGATTAATGACTCATGATTATAAACAAACATTGAAAACTAAATACTCCAAGGATTCATAATTTATAATACTCGTATAACTAATAATTAATTATTTTACTTATGTATTATATTGTTTTATTTATATTATATTATTATCTCAAGTTTTAAAAAATTGTTAATTAATTTATTATTCAACATTTTATTTTAGATCAGCATCTCTTCCAATAACATTTAAAGTGTTGGATGAAAAATTAAAGATGAATCCAAAAATCACTAAATTCGTCCTTCCAGTCGGTACAATCAATATGGACGGTTCAGCTCTGTACCTAAGTGTAGCACTATTATTCTTAGCGCAAATCAATAATTTGCAACTAGGCATTGGAGAAATTATCACTATCGGGTATGACATTAAAGGTTTCTACATTATACATAATATATACTTATAACAATATAATACGCATCAAATTACATGTTATTCGATACTCGCCATTTTGTTTTTTGTCTTTTTTCATAAACCGTTCAATAATATTACGTATAAACAACATTGCTTAACAATTAATACCGACACACTATAATGAGTATATTTTATATTAAAAAATAATAATGTTTCTAAAACCAATAATAAACGCACATTATAATTTGACTGGTTCTCTATAAATTATAATATTAAATATGATTAAGATTTATTGAAAGATAATTTCTATAATTAAGTGAATGTAGTAAAAAATTTCATTCAGATTTTAACGCTAATATCGACTGAATATAACCAGTGTGACTGACCAAGTATGTTTTCCCACTTTTTTTCTATCAGTAAAAAAAAATATATTCAAATTCTAATTTTTATACTATTTAAAAGTGTCCTGTTCTTCTATAGTAATAAAAATAAAACTTCTTTTCAAATGAGAATTAATATACTTTTATAAACTGTTTTAACAAATGATTTTTTTTTTTTAAATTTTGAAGTATTAAATGAAAATGTTATTGAGAAGTTTTTGAGTTATTAACAATTTTCTGTATAAAAGATAATAGGTCTCTGGTCTATGATAATAAGCTTAGTATGAGCGATCATTCACTCCTAAAAATGTATAAAAATCCAAATATTCAAATATTTAAACATGGTCTTGAGTATATTATAGATACTTAAAAATTTCAAAAGTCAGGTTTGAATAAACGCATTACTAAAGATTCATACGAGTGAGCATGTTTGGTGTATTGCTTCGTATTATACATGGAAATATTTTTACATTACATATAAAATTAACATATCAAATCGTATCTTACTCTCATTGATTAACGACAAGTGCTTATTATAGTTGCTTTTATCAATTTAATATGACAATTTGTATTATTATAATATATCTATCATAAAATACCTAACTAAAAATCTAGTTTTTATATAAATACGAACACCTGACAAGTTAAACTTCGATCGTAATATAGAAATAACATAAGTATAATATAAAATAAGAATAAATAGTAAATCACCTATCTGTACCAGCACGGTGCAACCTAGAATGTTTAATAGTTACAAATTAGTAATCACGCAATCTACCTCGTGGATATATATATTTTTTTTAAAGCAATTAGATAAACCACTTGTATCCAATAAGTATAGTAATAATCAGGGCTGTGAATTTATAGGAAAGTGCATTTTTTTTGGTGATTGTAAGACATAGCTTTGTAAGTACATAATTTGAATTATATAATTACGAATCCATCTATGAAACTTTTATTTTGCATATTTTTGCATTTCTTGACGTTTTTAATTTTATAGGTCATATTTTGCTTTTTTTAGTTCATTTTCTAGTATTTTTAACCAAACTCTGTCAATTAACTTGTTTGAAAACTTTTTTTTATATTATGTCAATTTTTTTAACTTTTTTATCAAATAAACACTTTTTTGTATTAATATTTAATATCCTGTACCTAATATTAATATAAAAATAAAAATAAAATTAAAAACCATTTTAAATTAATTTTATACTATAATTTTTTGGATTTTAAGTGCATATTTTGCATTTTAAGTGTATATTTTATTGCAATTTTTTTGGCATTTTTAATGCATTTTTTAAGGTTTTTTAGTGCATTAAATTCACAGCTCTAGTAATAAGCAATGTTTGAATTTATTTAATGGCAACAACAATAAAATTCACTTAATTATGTACTTGCATCTCATAAATCAGTGATTTATTATTTTTATGTAACAAAATTAACATGTCAATCGACTTAACAGGTTGGCTTGCACGGCGGCAAGTATGTCTTCGGCGGCTATTCCGTCGGCGGCTATCGTCTTGGTAGTAATGTTGTGCAGCGTCATCAATATACCCACTGAAGACGTATCTCTGCTGTTTGCCGTCGATTGGCTAGTGTGAGTATCCCCATTATGACAGATATATAAATATTATTTTATACCTAGACAGGTATCTATTACCTAATACTTCTATATAAAATATAAATGTATAATAGGTACACATGTTTTACAGAAAATTAATTATTTGTAATATTCATATATTTTTTTTTTTTTTTTATATAAATCGCATAACAGGGATAGGTTCAGGACTATGAACAACCTGATTGGAGATTGCTACACGGTGGCCATTGTTCAGCATTTATCTAAAGAGGAATTAGAACAGGTAATACGTAATAATAAAATATGTATTATATAATAAGCTAGACAATCATAATTATTTGTCGATCGAACTTGGTTTCAAAGTCATACATAGCCTTTTAAAGGTCTCCAATTTGACATTTATTACATACGCTATATGTCATTATTGTATTCAGAGCAAATTCACTTTACCAAACACCTATATGATAACAATTTTACCTAGTGTAATTTTTCTGTTTTCATGATAAATCTAAAGATACGCGTAAGTACTCACCATTCGCCAACACGGATGCAGCTAGTAATATCTGCCTTTTTGGCACTGCGTTAAACGATAATTACAAATTTTAAACGGCTGTAACTTATATTATATCTTGACTTGTTTTCGACAATTTTTTTGTATATTCGTAATCATCATCAAATATATTATTAATTAAAAAAAAAATTGCTCAATAAAATGCATTTGTTCCGAACACAATGATGACAAACATAAAAAATTCCGAGTTGATGAAATATTATAAGAATAAGTAGATAATACGATTTATAAAAATCATTTAAATTAATAGGTAATACATTTTATATCACTTTCACCACATTTCAAATTTTTTAAGTAATCAATCTAAAATTCAAGTTCATAAACTAATAAACAATTTTAAATTTTAGTTATAATACCTTACCTACTACTATAATGACCTCATTTAAAACGTATCATTATAGACAATTTAGTAAAAAATATTGAATTATATACAAATAATTCAATATGTATTTACCATACATAATAAATTGCATAGTAGTTGATAAAAATTATAAATATGATTAAATGAACGAAAAATTGTATTTCTCTTTTTCATTAGTCAGCGGTATTTTTTAAGTAAGATAATATAAGATGTATTTATTTTTATATACAGTGGATTACAGAACTAAGCTTCTTTTACCCCTCATCCCCACCCATCCCTCTTCAATAGGCATATGTTTGGTAAGGTATATATAGGTAAATAGAACTAGGTAAATAGAGCTAGGAATATCTCTATGTATTAAATATAACATATAGTTTTATATATAGATATTATACACTAATTATATTGGTATATTGTTATGTACATAAATTAAAGTTAATCCGACTATCGCATTTCAGATATTCATTACGATTTACAAATCATCGAATAAGTATTGTAAAATATATATGACTAATATAGGTATACTGATGACTACATTTTATTTACGTCACTAACGTATGCTTGGCTATTTGCCAATCAGAAAAACGATGAAAATTCACAGTTTTAAAAAACAAGATCTTATCTGACACGATGCAGTATTATTGTAGTTCATGTCCTCGAAGACAAAATGTCATTACTCGTTATATTAAACATATAATATACATATATTATATAACATATAAATATATTTCATTGAAGTGTTAAATTTCAGCATAGTACTACGTAGTATAAATTGATATGCATTATGATAGTAGCGTTTATACGATCTAACAAAACAATAAAAATAATACATAATATCCATTTTTTTTATTTATCGAAAAATACGAGTATATGATTAGAGCAGAATAATGCGATAATAAATTATATAACTTTATCTATCGACCTTCACCATTTAAAAGGTAGGCACAATAAAAAATCGTGCGGCTTTCAACAAAATGTTTTCACAAACGCCCTTGGTTGGTTTGAATAATCGATTAGTAATATTACCAAAGCCCTCACAAGGGGAGGCTGATTGACCTTGAGTACAGGGACTATAGGCCCGTTGAAATTTATTTGTAATTTTTGAAATTTTAGAATTAACACTTATTTTATATTAAATAATATTGTAAAATAACATTTTATGAAATATATATATATTTAGTCATTGGTTAATAATAGTTAATTTGATAGTTAACCATTGATCTAAAAATTATTGTGGTTACAGTTAGCGTCTTTCTTATCGCTTTTAAGCGATATTAGACTATTATCTTTTATTATATAGATTTTAATACCTAGCATTTTAGCTCTTAAGCTATACTTAATTATCAATATTGTGCAATACGCCGCGTTGTATACATCGAAATCCGAATCGTCGAATCCGTGAATTTATATTTGTTTCTTTTCATTATAATATTATAATTAGAGCAGTGAATTTAATGCACTTAAAAATCTTTAAAAATGTCAAAAAAATGCCCTTAAAATGCAAAATATGCAATATAAAATGCCAAAAATTCTAGTATTAGATACACTTTTAATTTAAATTTTATATTTATATTGATATTATTGGATATTATAAATTTAGTACATTACATTTTACATACATAACAATGTGTTTATTGAATAAAATAAATATTAAAAATGTTGATTTAATTTGAATTTTGTATAATACTATTTACCTGAAACATTTAAAAAAAATTTTTTTTATGTATTTATTTTGTTAATAATTAGGTTTTTAAAGATGTTAATTGATGGAAATTATTAAAAAAATATCAGAAAATAAACTACAAAAGGAAAATATAATGACCTAAAAATGCAAAATAAAAATTTCATCTACGGATTCGTTGTTACATAATTATATTATATACTTACAAAGCTACGTTTCACAATCGCCAAAAAAAAAAAAAATGCACTTCCCTACAAATGTACAACCCTAATTATAATTGAATTGCATTCTATGTACATACTATAATAATATATTAAATAAAATTTTAACTTAAAAAAAATATATTAAATATAAATCAAAATATACTTGTTTTTTTCTATTTTAATTTAGATAATATTGTAATAAAAAATAAACAAGACAATATTAATGTTGAGATGCCTAAGAATCTGATTTTTTATCATTTATTAACTGACTCGACAAAATGTTGTCCTGTTTAACAATGAATATTGAATTCGAATTGGTCTAATAAAGAACAAAATATATTATTCCAAAAATTATTATAAAAAAAAAAAATATATAGATGGTAAATTGTATTTTTGGAAGTTCTATAAAGGGCCCAGACAAACATTTAGTGCAGGGGCCCGAGATTGTATGTGGGGGCCCTGGATATTACACTTCGATATTTAATTAGATACATACAATAGTACAATACAGTTAAATATTCCAATAGTCGATACTATTATCATGAACTTTATTATGTAGAAAGTACAATCGATACTTGATGATATTAACTACTAACTAGTATATAGTATCTATATAGAACTGTCACGAGCAATTTTTAATAGTAAGTAGGTAGTTACACTTAACACGTCATAATATCTTTACTGTAAAAAGAATAATCAGCGATAGTTAACCGACCGCTACTGCGCTACATTAATACTTTCAATAATAATATATTTGATTTCTGCAGTTGTTTCTGGATTTTAAGAAATCTATAAATTATAGTATATTATTATACTAATATATGTCTACCATACAATCTTCACTCGTAACGATTTTCGTTTTACTATTTTTATTTTTGTTTATTATCTTATACACACATTTTTATACTTGCTACAATATTACAATAATACTGCAATTTTAAACAGAACGATAATTAAAACGAACTTATGTTATCTTTATCATACAATAATGATTTTTGTCTTTTGATGTATCCACGCATAAAACGTTATAATAAGTAAAAAGGGTACAGCGTCCAAAAAAATACACTTTACATATCAATGAAATTATCTGAAAAATATGTGTGGCTTTAAAACAAATATAATGTATATACACGATACTGTACTTGCTGATATCACTTAACAGATTTTTAATGCATATTTTTCCCCTCTCGACAGGACGACGATTTAAACGAGAAAGAAGCCGAAGAAGCGCACGTCAACGGCACGTTTGTCATCCAAGAACAAGAACAAAATACACATACAAATCAGAGTTTTACCAACACGCCAGTATAAAGTTATATTAATCTTGTTTATAATATACATATAACGACTGTGAAGAGTTTCCAGTATTATAATGAATATATACAACGGAGGCTAATAAATTGCACGTGTTGCAGACGACAATTCGTATTATATTAGAACTCGAACGTATTATTATTATTATTATTATTATTAAGTAGCATTAGTATTTTACTTATTTTTATCATTATTCTTCTGTGTTCGTATGACCATTTACATTGCGTACCTATTATTTTTTTATGAATGTTTTTAAGAAAGCTCGATGGTAAAACATACATAAAGTAACGTCAGATTTTTTCGAATTCAAATTAATAGTTCAATATTTAAATACTGCACATTTCCGGCAGTGTTTTCTTGTTTTACATTCTTGTTTACATATTATTTACTATAAAAATCTATATACCTGTACGACGCGTGAACGCAAACTAAAAAGCATCAAAGAACAATTATTGCATTATAATAATGTATACCATTTTAGTCTTAGTGGCTAATATTCTCATATACCGTGCCTAGACTCACCACGCGATCTCAGAACCTCGTAGTTGGTGATTGTTGTAATCGTTTTTAAATTAAAATACATCTATAAATTATAATAGTATGTATCGTCACAGAAAACGAAAACGTTTTTTTATTATTTTGGCATTTAATATTAGTACAACATAATATAAATGATTTGAAACTTTGTTAAAGACATTTTGTGTTACCCTCGTGCTTTCTTGTAGTTATTATTAGATAGTTGTTTGTGTTTTTTATCATGTCAGTATATATTACTAATTTAATACCCATCGAATATTATACGTATATACCTGCCATATGTTCATTTAATTACTTTTATGCGTTAATATATAAATATTTACAGTTATTGAATTATAATCGTTATTTTTACTATTTGGGTTATTAGTTATTACAATATTTAAATCATAAGCCACAACTGTGTATCATCCAATTTGACTACCTATCTATATATTATGTATTATTATAATCATTTACAACGAATGCGTTATAAATATATTAATACATTAGTATAAAACCGCCTAGAAGTCTAGAACACATAACAAGACACTCAACCGGACATAAAAAGAGCCATCTTCATCAGTATGAATAATAATCTATTGCCGTGGAGTCGTCCGGAGTTGAAACTACTGGCAATCAAGGATATACAAAGTGAACTTTCGTTTGTGTTGACTTTAGGAAAAAACGGTAAAACACGATATTCAATTTTTTCCAAATTATTTATGGAATAATGAATAATGCAACAAAACTCAAACGCTCGACTAATGGAATATTGATAAAAAAATAATTTCTCAATCCGAAAACCACCGACGTCCGACGTAAAAGTATTAATATACATAAATACATATATTTTTATGTCGAAAAACATCTATTAGGTTTTCTATGATTGAAAGATTAATTTTTTTCTCTTGACATAACGTAGCTATACTAAATGGCTAATGTATAATAACTAATGAATGACCTAGTGTAGAATTAATAAACCTATACCTAACTACAATAGATATTTTTCTCGTTTCTTACAACAGAGATCAACGAACTTCTTTAATCGTAGATACATAATAATAGCCTGTAGTTTCTTGTATAGGCCAACAGCCGACTTTTCCTAATCAAGCAATCGTGTGGTTTATAGGTAGGTATTAAGTACTAATATAGTAAACTAGTTACTACTCGAAACACTATTAGAATCGTAATCGAATAGGTACACATCTAAAAGTATCTACAAGAAGCTCCTGTCTCGCGCACTAAGCATCAACTCTTTAGATTTAATTCAACCGTGGAATGCAAGTATATATATGTTGCAGTATATATTCAATCAAATAGTATTCCATTTATTTACCGTATTAGTTATTTGATCAAGTTAAATCTCTATAATCGTTTTTATCATATTTCAGATTCAGATTCACATAAGATATATTTTATACAGTAACAGTACTGCTTAACTGCCTTAGTCGTTCTACGTTCTAAATTTGATTTTATATATCAAAAATATTAATTAAATAGATTAAACATAAAGATACGCAAAACATAACCTAGGTACCTATACACATTATTAGACATACCTACATATATATTTTATCATGATACTATAGAATTCATAATCATTGAACCGTAAATATTCATTTATATTGTTAAAAAAAAGTAATATATACATATACTAATGCAAATAACTAGTGTGAAATATTTTATGACTCATCAAAGTTGAGTTTACATGCCAATGTTGCCAAATAGGTACATTAAATGGTGGATGGGTGGGTCAAAATATTTTATTCAGTAAAATTGATACTGCTGTCTATAAGTTATAGTTGTGTACAAAATAGATATCAGTAGGTTATGTTACATCGATATTAATCTGTTAATGACATTTTATTGGAGCATAATAGGTAATAGAAGTACAATGAATACTATATTAAATACAATTAACCTCCTACATAATTATATGAATTAAAATATAGGTATAGATAATTAAGCAATCACAAATTTGTTTTTAGAATTACCAAATTTATAATTAAATTTTTATAAACTAATAATTATAGTAAACCTAATCTAACCTTTTTTAATTTCTTAGAAAATTTACATTGCGTATACAATTACTAAATTAAGCAAACTCGATAGACATTTACAATAGATTAAAAAAACATAAGTATTATGTTGAGGAAAAACCCCATTTGTAAATTATTTGTAAATTGTAATATTTCATTGTTGGTAAAACCTAATTTAATCTAACGATAGTTTCTAGTGTTTCCACTGAATACTAGCAACTCTTAGTTTTTTTTAGAATTACCTAAGTTATAAATTTACAATATTTACATACCGATACCTTTAATATAAAATCGCCAAGCATTTTATGTTGTGTAGTTTACAATATTGTACAAATTTTAAATGTAAAACAAATCATTTCAGTTTATTTTATATAATCAACTTTAGTTAAATTATAAATTATTGAAGTGTTAAGATTTCCAAAAAAAATTAAATAATTTTCTAGAAAAATTTTAAGATCTACATGTAATTGTTTCATGATTACACAAAACAATAATTAAATCAGTCCATTATGGATTGATATGTTTTGCTAGTATACTGCTCGTCGTATAACTCCTTAAACCAATGTACTTTTCTTCCATATTTTTCTTATATTATCCAATAATCTATTATCTAAAATCTAAATTTCTTATTTAAAACACACATTGTCTCATTAAATCATTGCATAGCCTATCACCTATTTATGCCTAGGCAATGTACCGGTTTACCGCCATTGACAATTGTATTGTAATATACACGAGCAAATATTGAAAACAATAGGTAGAATAACATATGCAATCAAAACCAGGTACACTATACTATGAGTTATGTACCTCACTCACATCAGGAGATTGCCCTAACAAATCTAAATTTATACCAATGATGACTAACAATTACTTGAACATAGCTTTAAAATTGATACTATCTAAATACAATATATACTGAACTAAACAAGAAAAAAGAACTCATCCAATAAAAGATAACCAACATAACCAATCTAATTTACACGAGTCTTTTCAGTGGAACCATATATTCATAAGTATATGAATTTAAATCAAAATCAAAAATTTGTAAAGAAGCTTCTGGCAAATCTGAGTAGATTCATGTTTATAGTTATGCTCAGTTACTAAAACATTTATATCAAACACGAGATATACAATAAGCTATAATAAATAAATCTGAAATTATATTCATTTTAGGATAAGAATGACTACTTGAACAATGAAAACTAGTCATATTCGCAAATGTCTAGTCACCATAGCGAGTGTTAATACCTGTCATCGAGTCATAAGATGTATATTATGTAATGACTAATGAGCTATTAGTGAACTATACCATATCATTCTTAAAATACCGGACTACTAATAAGCTAATTTTGAAATAATTTATGAATTCAATATTTTAAATACCCATTAGTATAAAAATATTATTGCACCTATACACTCACCTATAATGTGATGTATTAAAATATTAATATCATGATGTCGACCATGACAAATAATAACAGTTGATTATTGGAAACAAACCACAACATACCCAAATCTTGTAAGGGGGATCATCAGATTATTTTGGCCAATTAGTATGTATGCGTTTAAGTAGGCAATCTTATTTAGAATAGAGTATATACAGTATTAATTTGCTTAAATGCCTTAAATAAAATCTTTTTGAATACTAACACTAGTATAAAGAAATGATAAAAAAAAAAAAAACAAAATTAAACGTATGAAATAATCAATTTTTATTCCTCTTGTACAACTGTTGTCTTTTCAGATACATATAAACCATCCAAGAACTTACGGATATCCTTGTTCTTTACGGTTGTAGACTGTTGGATTAAAGCAGCTAGAACAAATAATAAATAATTTTTTATTATAATTAAACACTAGATAATACAAATTGAATCATTTATACGCCATAGTTTATAATTTATACAATAAAAGTGTTTTAAATTTTTATTTAACTTTTTTTCAGATTAATAGTTTGGGTTAAAGACATTAAACCTCCATGTGTTTTGTCTTGCAAATACATAATATTACATTGAATTTAAATTTACCTACTATAAAATCTTAAAATTATCGGGTAAACCTCATACTTTTTATTAAAAAAAAAAATTAAAACCAGTTTGAAAATCTTAAATTTTTATGCGTTTAAAATTTTAATTAATCACTCTGAAATTGAAATATATAAAAAAAAACTTTGAGGTTAACTTTTCTAACTTTTAATTTTGGTGATAAATTAACTGTAATAGTAAACATCAAGGAGTTAAATGAGTTTTTCAAAAGTAAAACTACAGGATGTTAAGTTATAACAATGCCCTAAGACCTGAAACCCTTGAACATAATTTATGTATACAAAAATTTCAATTTTGTTTTAAAATTCACAACGTACTACTATAGAGATAAAAACAAAGGTGCAAAACATATACTTCTTTTAAGAGTATATACCAAGCTAAACTTATATACCTATCATTAATGAAATAATTGTTGACAACAAAAATAAGTGATACGGAGAAAAAGATTAAAATATATTATATAAACTAAATTAAGAACATAAATTAATTGCAAATAGCAAAGACTATATACTAGAATTATCTTAATTATAATATTGAGACATAACTATGAATAATTTTAAAATATTATATATTATGAACTATTAACAAACTATTAGTGATTAGTTCACATGTATATAATATAGTGTGTATTTTGTAGGACAGTAATCATTATTATCAGATGATTCAGGATTCTACCACAATACATCAATAACACCTAAAAATGTAATAATTATAAAAATATAACTCAAGAAAATTATTTGTATATCTTGGTTTATCTGTATAAATGTAAATTTACATTTGACAGATTGCCTTTGACTGAGAACCAATAAGTTTAACTTTTAAATTGTAATTTTTGTTACATTATGTGTTCAAAAAAAATTGGAAATACTCCACTTATAGTTTGCATGATTTAAAACTTACATACAATAATAACAGATAACACTATTAATAAGCTTGAAATCAAAATTACATTTAGCTTTATTTTATCAGTATGACAGTATTGTAAGACATGGTACATCAAATGTAAAATTGCATAAATTAAATAAATTATAATTATAACAGTACTGGTCTAATTGACACTTGCCAAAAAATAATTCTCCCACAATTCAAATTTAATTTATGTTAAATTAAACTATTAATTTTTTTTTATTATTATTTAAAAATTGAAAAATTTTGGTAGCATAAATAGATATGGGCCAATAGTTGATACTACCTTGGAGATCCAAATTTATAGTTAAACCTTTGATCAAAATGTATGATATTCTATGTTATATGTTTAATAAATAAAGACAATGTAAGCAGGTATGGGGTTCTCTTAAAATTATTATATAATGCTAATACCATTTATTATAATAACAAAACTTAAAAGATCTAATTGGATTATAAAATTAAAAGTAGCATATTCTGAACTATTAAAATTTGTATCCATACGCCTATTAATAATCATTCTAAAGGTTCCCTCTAAATTTTAAGTTGTTGGATTCAATATCAATAACCAACTATATTTAATACATTAACTAAAAATATTGTTTTATAAATAGCTTATTCATAATCATTGAATTAAAATGAAAAATGTATAATTAATCACGTTTTACATTATTTAATAGACATTTTTATCAAAATATGGACATTGAATATGAACAGCATATTTACTACCTATCCTGGATTCAATTAAGCCAACAGATATTTCTCTGGACCAATAAATATTTTACTATTATTAAAATACTAAACTTAAATTTATAAATAATTTAATTAGTAACTATCAACAATTAGTAAATTATATTTTAATTTAAAGTGATTTGATATAAAATTTAAATTTAATTGAGAATTTAAGTATTTAATCATACAAATTATAAATGATATATTATATTATACCTGATCTAGAAACTTTTTCTATGTCATTTCCTTCAACAATTAACTCGTCTTTTTGTTTTGAGTTAGTTATGGTTACACCTGGCGACATCTTGACACGTCTAATATATTTTTCACCCAAGAAATTTCTGATTTCTATGAGTGAATTGTTTTCAGAAGTAACGCAATTGATTGGGAAATGGGCATACACAGCTCTCATTTTGTACAAGAAACCCTAAAAATAATTAAAAAAATAATTTCAAAAAGTTTTATTATTTAATTAATAGGCGCTTACTTTAGTCACACCCTTTATCATGTTTTCAACATGGGTACAGATAGTTCTGACGGCAGCCAATTCTTTCTTGGTGCCAAACCATTTTTCCACAGTTAACAAACGTGGTCCTTTCAGGTATATATCAACAGCCAAATGTTTAAAATTTCTCTCTAATGAACCACGGGGGCCTTTTACAATTATAATCCTCTTATTGACCGTGACATCAATGCCTTCGGGGATTTTCACGGATTGGTTGGCGTTTATGGTCCTCATCTGAAAGTTTTAAATAAATATTTTAAATGGATATTCAAAACAAAACATACAAAACAACAATAAATATTGTATCTCAGTGAAGATTCAGAAGTTAATAATGACCAATATACAAAATGTATCAGTGTGCAACAGGCATTAATGAGATTATGCAGCCAGGAAATCTTAAAAATTACACAATGAAATCACTGAAATTATAATAATTTATATTAATGATACATAGTACACGGATTTATTGCCCGTGTGCACTTTTAATTCAATGTTGAGGATGTCAACGAAAAATTCAATACATTCCAAAATTTTAAACTCACAATAGTTAACAGAAATACTCTTAAATAATCGACTAATTGGTTAAGTCGTGTCCGAAGATCAAAAATAAGACCTATATAAAAATCAATAGAAACCTAACACAGCAAATAGTCACGGAGAAGTGCAAAATCAACTTGTCGTCGGTCGTCACCGTCGTAAGTCACGAAACTAGAAAAAATATACTTCTAAACACGAACACAAAATAAAATAACAATTGTGGAGAACTTACTGCTACGATCAATTGATTTTAAAATATAATACAGTAGACGAAAATTTGGATTACCTTGGATGAAAATCCGAACACACCGACGACGTAAACTAAAATCGAAGAAGAGAATTATTTGTTTAAGTGTGTATTCGAGGTTATGAAAAATATCATGAGGACGTGGTATAAGCGGTATGCTTTAATGTACGATATTTAGTCGTAAACACAACCACAGTAACCAGTATGATTTTTGTTATCAATATTCTTATCAACCGTTGTTTTTGTTTGGCGTCAGTTTGCCATTGCTTAAAAATGCTTACTGCAATACTGCATTACTGCATAGACGCATAGTGCATTAGTACCTCACTACCTCAGAGTACATAGCGCTTAACTGTTTACTGATAAGTGGTTTTAGATACAGCTTACCATTTTTATGAAAAACGCGTTTTGTACGTCTCGTAAGTAAATTATTTATTTATTAAATACTTAACCTCTGAAAAAAATACTCGCCCATTTTTAAAAACAAACACCATGGCTGAAATAAGCTCGTATAGAGATCAGCACTTTAAAGGCTCTCGAAGTGAGCTCGACAAGTTATTGCGCACGTCAACAACTATGTACATTGGAAACTTAGCTTTTTATACGACTGAAGGCCAGATATACGAACTGTTCTCTAAATGTGGTGATATTAAGCGTATTGTCATGGGCCTTGACAAATTCAAGAAAACACCTTGTGGTTTTTGCTTCATCGAGTACTATACAAGGGAAGATGCAGAAAATTGTATGCGTTATGTTAACGGCACTCGTTTAGACGACCGAATCATTCGCACAGACTGGGATGCTGGATTTCTGGAAGGCAGACAATATGGTCGTGGAAAAACAGGTGGTCAAGTGCGGGACGAGTATAGGACTGATTATGATATTGGCCGTGGTGGATATGGCAAAAACGCTCAACCCAAGGCAGACATGATAATATTTGGCAGAAATAAAGACGCCCTTCCAATGGATTAATGCACAATTTAAGCCCACCAAATTATATCTTTTTCAAATATTTATAATTTTTTTTTTTTTTTCTTATCATGTAAATTTCCTACTGCTTGATTTTGTAAATAAATAAATATTTTATATGTTGTAGAAGTGTATTCAATTCAAACTCAAACGATCATTCTTTGATCATGTTTAATCACATTGGAATGTGACACTTTTAAATTTCTACGCACAAATGAATGATAACCGATCTGATAATTTGCATTGCTGTGAATATATTAATATGAATGAAGAAAAGTCTACTATAATATCAGATCTTTGTATTTGTCCGCCATTTGGAAACTGCTGTTCTAAGTAAATATACTGAACACTTATCATATTATTGAATACTGGCACTGTTTTTAGTTAGCTTGTTTTATTTTTTAACAATTTGCAGCAACTTCTTTATAATTCTTAATGATGAATGATAGCCATGTATAACACTATTGTCATAAATAAAACTATTGATAAGTTAATTAACAAATTTCTATTTATCAACTTTAAGTTTTACAATTTTTTTTCCCTGAAATAAGTGTTAGTTATAAAAAAAAAAAAAATTATTTTATACCTACAAACTAGTATTATTATAATTTTGAAGTAATTAGCAATCAATAAAATCTTTGTGTACCTAAATAAAAAAAAGCAATGATAAATTTAAAGTTATAGGTGAACCAAGTTAAATTATAATTTTTATTATAATTATATGTTGGTTATAAATATAAGAGTATGTTTAAGAATCTTAAATTTTTCTTCTGAAAGAATTAATTAAAAATCTTAATTATGTTACTAACAACTAGTGGCCAATGAGCAATGCTGATAGAAAAAAAGTATTACAGTGATATCTTTTATTAACAATTCATTTATTTAAATAAGGCTAATATGAAGTTGAAAATGTCTCAAACAATTTCAATTATAATTGTTAGTAGAGTAGTGTTAATGCACATACGAGATACAATATACTTATATTCAAACTATAAATATAAACTATTTAAACATAATTAAGTATATTAATTATACGTGTTAACAACATATATGTATTGAAATAAAATGTTTTTTAATCTGATGAGGATTATCCTTAATTTAAATTCGTATTAAAATAATTAGTAATTGTATCTAGCATATTTTGAATATTTCAATGTTTATACCTTATATTTATCATTTATCAAATTACTTGATTACTTATGAAAATGGGTAATAATCTATAGACTATCAATATACAATATTTTTAATGATAAAAGTACAACTGGTCGTTATTATCAAAGATGATGACATATATGTAGTAAAGATGTTGAAATACTGTTTTTAATACTTAATTTTTACATTATTTTAAATAAAATGTTTTAAATGTATATTTTGTAGCACATTACAGTATTTTTAGAAACACATTTGAGGATTTCTTGTGCATTTAAATCCATTTCTTAGTAACAATTATTGGGCTATTTCTAAGACTTATAAAAATGGATAAAAAATGTAATATACAATGCAAATAAAAATATTTGACTTTCATTTTTAAACAGACAGTATTTTAATTAATAGGCATTGTAGTTTTAAATATACATAGCCAATCATAAGAAAAGATAAAAGACTTATTTCATTACTCATAAGCATAAGATCACAATCTTATTAAAGTAAATTTCATATTCAAAAAAAATTACAAATGCATTAACAAAATGATAAAATAAATTTTTAAACGTAGAGGGAAAATAATTTATTAAAACAATCATATTATGACCATTATAAATTATGTAACATATTGTATATATATGTATATATTTTATATTATATATTCTGTTATTACTAGTTAAAATAGTAATTATAAAATTAAATTATTATTTTCTATTATTAAAATGTATAACTATACATCTTAATTTATTTAAATTGTTTCAGTTTATTGAAATGTCCACCATCTAGAGACATAGAAATAAATGTTATGGTGGCAAATTTTCAAGATCGATTTAGAATTCCTTGGCAGGGTGGAGCAAGACGAATTTCTTTAGATTCTGCTGTGCCATTACTTCTCTTTCCAGCTACTCTTTATTTTGCTGCCTTGGGGTTTTGGCCAACCATATTAATGTTTCCGTTGATTACATTTTTTCTTTATTACACTCATCGTACTGTCCGCAAATACAGAGTGGCTACGAAATTCTTCTATGTTTGGACATTGACATCAGCATCATTAGTGTTAATTATATTCCAGTTTCTGGTTGTGCCCATGTTAGATATAAACACTAATGAAAACATCATAATTACAGTCACTATGATAGCCACAGCAGCTTGTTTTTATTTTACCAAGAAACATGCGATCAAATCTCATCTGAAATATGATCTAGAAATGACTAATATCAATGAAACAAATGAAAATATAATTTTAATAAGTGAAATTGAAAATATTCAATGCAATACTTGTAAAAGAGATGTACCATCCAGAACGTATCACTGTTTTGTGTGTAAGACCTGTGTGATCCAACAACACATACATTCTTATTGGTATGATACTTAGGCCTACCGATTTACACTAAGCATAAATAAATACAATCATAATAATGTATTATTTATTCATACAGGATAGACTGTTGCATCGGAAAATATAATAGGAAACCATATATGGCAGGTCTGTTACTTGGTTCAATTTTGTTTACTTTCTTATCAAATCTCATTCTAACTACGCTATGTCATCCTTTCAATGTTTTTGCAACAATCATGTTACCTGATGACTGTAGTGATGTATATTATGACATTATGTAAGATAATTTTTATTATTTTATTTTACACAAATTAATAATTTTTGATTCATTACTATCTAAAAATATTTTCATTTTTATATCAAAAAATCCTTTTGGATAAAAATTAATAACACAGGAACTTTAGAAATAATTATTTATTTATTATTAAATTATTAATAATAAATAAATAATATGAAAGATTTTCACATTTAAAAACGTTTAATTTCTTGTTTTTCATTTGCATTTATAAAAAAAAAGTCTCATCGTATTATTAATTCGATATTTAAATTCAGTGATTTTTGTTCTATTCAGTACCGGATCTAGGGGGGGGGGGTCAATCCAGGGCACGTGCCCCGGATACTAGTCATAAAGGGGCGCAAATTTCTAATTATGTAATAAGTGAAAAAAAAAAATAAAGGTTATTCATATAAAAGGGCGCTAATTTCATATTTTGCCCCGGATTAAAAAAATATTAGATCCGGCACTGGTTCTATTAATTAATAAAATGAAATAATACATTTTGATTAATTTTTGTAAAGGATCAACAGTTAGTTTTTTAATCAATATTTTGCTTAGATTCTAAATATATTTTTTAAACTAATAATATATTAATAATGAAAATAGATAAATTTGTATTAAAATGAATTAATATTAAAGACCAAACACAGTAAGCATGACTTACTCATAACTTAATTTATGTATTTTGATTTTTTCTAGGTATGGTATTTGTTTTGTATCCGGGTTATATTGTTTTGCAGTCGCAGTCATTTTATTTGTAATGTTTATCAACGATTTCTATTTGGTTTCCCTAGGAATAACTTACCACGAGTGGCAAGAACAATGTAAAGATTTTAAAAGTGGTTGCCGTTGGTTCCTATCTAGGCACTTTATTAGAAATTTATTTTCAAATTGGAAAGCATTTTTCAATAATGTCTGAACTCTAAGTCTGAATATATGTTTTTAATTTTTCATACATCTATTTTATGAATTATTTTTGTTATATAATATAATATATATATATATTAAGTTTTTATTTTGTAATAATCATTTCATATTGTAATATAATAATTATATAAATAATAATGTTTCATTCAATTGTTAGGTAGCACAAGAAAAACAATATATATAATTAATCTATACATATTTTGTACAATTTTGTGATAAATCTACAGTAAGTATATTATAATTCAAATTCTGGTGGAATAAAGTCTGGTAAAATTTCTTGAACCTTTTCATGCCACATACGTAGTCGGCAGTCTTTAAGCCTTTCCTTGTACATTATTTCAGGAAACTTTCTCCAATTATCAAAACAATGCTTCATTATTATCCTACAAATTACAATCAAATTCCAATCAGTATTTATCAACAATAACTATTGAGTTTTTATCTTGTATTAATAATTATCTATTTTGACTAAATAAATTAATCTTATAATATATTAATATGTCAAATATAGATTTTATAATATAATTACTTGTTATGATAAGATTCTGCTTTCAACATTTTTATTTGTGTTTGAACTCTAATTTCTCTGACATAATCATGCCATCTCTTAAACCAATATTCTTCCATTTTAAAATTGTGCCAATCTTCAGCTACTTGTTGTTTTTTTTTCCTCTCTTCTAAAATCTAGAAATTAATTATTGAAATAAACATATCATAATATGTTCACTTGTTTATATTGTCATAAATTCGTAAATTCGTAACTTAATAAAATTAGGTAGGTACCTACCTACTACAATACTACCTATATCGTTAATTGTATATTATTATTTATTTATGTAGGTACCTACCTAAATTATATACTCTAACATCACATATACCACTCAATGTAATGTAAAATAATTAGATTTTATGAAATGTGACTTGCACATAATTAAGTTATACCTCATAAAATCCTAGAAATGTAGTTTTCATTAATTTCTGCTTGTAAAACTGATCAGCCAAAAATATTTTCTCGTTCATACTATTATTCACGTAAAATCGCCATTTGTTGAAGCAAGTGCTGACTAATTGTCTGTCGTAGTGTTCTGAAGCCTCTTCTGCCCGCCATCTGGCACAATTTAAATTCGCTCTGAACGCTTCGAGTCCTCTCCTCATCAACAGTTTACGATACGAATCGTCAGCGATCCGAACGTTCTCCCGCCACGCTTCCCTTTCCGCCTTTCGTCTTTCCTCTTCGATAGTCCTCAATCTCAGGTTTTCCCTAGCCTCGAGCAATCGCTCGCGTTTCTTTTCCATCCGTTCTCTCATGCACTTTTCCTCCAGCTCACGTTTTCTCCGCATTTCTTCCTGTTCCGCCTTCCGGCGCCTCTCCTTAATTGCCTCCCACTTAACCCGGCGTTCCAGGGCCCGTACTTCCATCCGGTTCAGTATGTCCGACGGATTCGCCGTGGCAGCGCTGCGCTGTGGCGGCTGCGCGTTTCGGATTTTGGGTTTCCTTTCATACCCGCCAGAATGATGCAGATCCTGCAACAGTCTCTGGTTCTCAAGTAACGCCTTTTCGGATTCCAATTTAAATTGTTGAAGTCTCAGGCGTTCGATTTCCATTCGCTGTTTCTCAAGCATTTTTTTCTGTTCGTCAATTTTTGCCTGCTGACGGTCACGGTGGGCGATCCGCTTCGTCACTGGTGCCACACGATTCCACGCACAAGTCTGTTTATTGTCATCGGCCGTTCTATTCTTCCGCCGACGATTGTCAGTGTCCAATTCTTCTTGAATTTTCGACAAAAACTTATTGACTTTATTGTTAATCCCTTCGAGACCGCGGGACGCTTTCGATTTTGTCGTGTAATCCCGCCACTTGTCCCAGTAAATCCTCTGCAGCAAACGCATTGCCAACGTTTCTGATCCGTTTTTTTCGCTCGTCGCGTTGTTACAACATCGGTCATTTTCAGTAGTTGTACGATCAGTTTGATAGTCGTCTTCCGTGCACTCGAATATCGTTGTTGGTTCGCTACCGCGATTATTATAATCATTTTGATAGTAATTAATGTTGTTGTTGATGATGTTGACGTTCAACTGTTGTACATTGATGACGGTAAAATTATTGACGATTGTGCTGATTCTCGCATCAGGTGACGTGTTACGGCAAATATTCAAAACATCATTGATGACCGCCGCGTTTTTGCAGCGAAACTCTTCGTCCTGCTGCAATGCTCGTCGATCAACGATCGACGATATTCTTCGTTCGGTGTGTTTCAATTTTTTCCTGCGCGCACACCTGTCATGTACAATATTATAACAAAATTAGTTACGACTTATTAATAATAATATAATAAAATATATATAATATATAGTCGAAGTCAAATATAGATATGAAATTCTAATTGAGATTTAAGTTTTGGATGGTTTTTATCATACGATGTTTAAACATTTATTACATCCAAATAAACAGCCTGCAGATGACTTACATTGTATAATACTGTGTATTCGAATTAAATAAATAAAATTAATTTAACTGAAATTAAATCAAAAATCTGAAAAATTTTAAATGCACAGGTAATACCTTAATAAACATGCATATAGCGAATGGGGGGAGGAGAGAAGCTCTCAAATTCACCCATATTTGTATTAAAAATAAAACTATCTAGGCATATGTTTTATAACATTTAGCTGCAGTTGTAACACATGACATATTCGTATATAAAACACATAATATACAGTTAGTTAAATTTTAAGTCTTAATTTTTTTTTTTTTTTTTATTTAAATTAGTTTAGTAGTAGTTTTTCACATTTAATTAAGTTGTTTGATGAAAAATAAAAACTTACTTGTTTATATCTGAAATAACTTTTTTACAGTCTCGTTTAATTAACCAACGATGTTCATCTTCTGTCTAAAATGTAATCAAAATAAATTAAATAATTAACTATACTACTTATTACCCACATAATACTAAATAATAAATAAATATAACGTTGAATAAAATATTATGTTAGTTATTTTAGATCATGCATAAAAAAAAAAAAAAATCACTAAATCTTTTAAGAAATGTTTATAGTCGAGTAAAAATAATTTACCTATAATTGGCCAACTACAAAAACTTAATAAATGCAAATATTTCAAAACATAAAAGTAAAAATTCATCGGTTGCGTATACTAGCTACACCAATAATTGTACACACACATTTTATGTAAGAACGATCCGATATAAATAAGGCAATATAAGATAAACTTAGTTTTATTTTTATGATAAAAATTTTACTATTTACCAAGTGTCTTTCAGAATTACTAACGATTCTATCCAATTGTTTTCTACTAACAATTCTATAATCTTCTAGATTTTTTTTGGAAAATTGTGCAACGTCTTGAACTGCTAAGTTGCAGTATTGGAAGTTGACGGCCTGGGGATCCATATTGAACGTTATCTCAACATATATTGTTCTTAAACTTAATATTTTATACATACAACATATTCAATTTAATATACACATAATTAAACAAGAAGTAGAAACAAAATATGTATTATATTGTGCACTATACATGTCTACGTAGTTATTTTACGTTTCATAAGTTTAGTTTACACCTTTCACGCCGATGTATCAATAATAACACTCATGACTGCGTGTTTTACAATATTACACATTAATAAAATTATAACAATAACAACAATTACACCAGACCCTATGATATATTGTGATGCCGGTAAGAAAATGTTTACATGTTACTACCATGATCGCTATAGCAACTGTGATATAGCCGATATAGGTATAAACTATGATATAATATTATAGTTGATGTAAATACCTACATAATACATATTATATATCATAATAGAATTTTATTATATTGTAAGATATTAATGAGAAATTTTGAACGCCATAGAATACTGTGTTTAATACTACTTAGGTACATTATAGGTACCAGGTAGGTAACCAAAAATTTTTATAGTTAAATATGATTTATGACAAATAAAATATAAAAATAAATAATATTTATATTTTGAAAACTAATTGATATTGGTTATATTATAATATAAAATATTTTTCATTTTTCACTTTATTATTATTTACTTATAATAAATAAACATAGCTATAAGGATTCGGGGCGTTAAGGTTACTGTATTTCGTTACACCACTTTAAACACACAAATATAATAATAAAAAATACGTATTTATTTATTTTTTTTTTCTGTACTCAATTGTATTTAAAAATAGATAACTAAACTTAAAATAGTTGTTATTTATTTATTAGACAATATTACGACTAAAGAAGCTCAATTACAAGGAGAAGAAAGTGTTTATATTAATAACAGTAACTTGCAGCTAAAAAGGTATTTGACTATTACAATAAAATACAAATTGTAACTCACTAAAAAAAAAAAAAAATTTATCAAAAAGCGGTTTGTTAAAAAGGAAAAGAAAAGTCTTCATTGATAATTCTTAATAAACGGATTAAATTAGAATTAGATAATTATTTCTTGTGAAACGTGTTAGAACTCTGAAGCTGACTATAGCGATTAGTATTTTCAGCTTACAAGGAGAAAAAAATTGTACATAATGCATTGAATATTTTATAAGCAGCAAATTCATAAATTTTGCTATTACATTGATCACTAGTTTACATTTAGTAGCCTATCTACAACGCCGTGCGACCACTAATTTATAATAAATTTAATTATCTACGATTAATACATTTCTATTTCTACTATATTTTATTCATCTATTGTAGTATTTTACTACTATTAACACAGATATAACGTGCTATATTCAACAGACTACTGAAGTAGACTATTTATATTATTTCCAATACCTACTCACCTATTTCGTCAAAAATCAATATCAATTATTATAAATCTATGATCAATTATTAATTTTTCAAATTGTTATCATTATTATTATAAACTTGTAACTATTATATTATTTTGATTCAAAAAATAGGCTAGGCCCAAAAATATGGTATATTATTATACAGTGCTTTAAACAGAAAATATATACAGTGGAACCTCGATAACTCGAACTTCTATAAGTCGAATTTTCGATAACTCGAAAGAATATCTTGGCTCCTACTTTATAACATATCATATGACGTGTAACCTCTGTAAGTCGAATTTTCGATAACTCGAATTTTTTTTTCGCCCCCAACCGATTCGAGTTATCGAGGTTCTACTGTATATATATATATATATATACAGTGTTATATATATATATACAGTGTAATTTGTGTATAATGTATAGGACGCACTAAAAGTAAACTGATAAAGATAAATCTTCGATACATTTTATGTTAAAAGCAGGAAAAAATAATAATGGTTTCTTAGAATTTTAAAATAAGAACTTCAGACAGTTTAGCGCCTACTGCCTATATATACGTAGCTTATAGAAACATGGTTTCTATAGAAGACGATCAACGAATAAATAACCACCCATTGGCCATTCGATACACAATTTTATTTTAGTAAGATAAATGTATCCAATATCCACAATATCATTATATCAACCATATAACTATGTAAGACTTGTGCGTAACTTATAATTTTTTACTTAACGTTTATAAAAAATATAGTTTCATGAATTTATTTTTCAGTTCCTATAAATATATATTATATACATCATATACACACGCCGCGTACATACTGGTTTCTGTTTATAATAATACAGTAAAATATTATTGTTGTAATGTTGCATGTAAACAAAATCGAATACCGAAATACGTACGCTCGTATGTTATTGTATAGTGTATACGGTTATTATATTATACATTTATATGTATACCTAAAAACACTAACGCTTACCAATAACCCAATGCTTATAAAAAATAATAATATAATATTATACATAATTTTAGTCGGCAGGAAGACCGATAAATATTTTGTTCCGTACAAACTGCACAGCAGCATACATGAACGTCAGACCGTGACCAATTATTATTTTATTGAAATGCGTGTCGTAATGAAGTTCCAAATACATTTTTTCTGCGTTTAACGGTAAATCTGAAATCATATTTGTTGTTATACATTACAGGCCAAAAAAAAGGATCAAACGACAAAGCAGTAATCACATTGTAATTGTACATTACCTACACGAATCACATTAATGGTCATCAGTTGATAGTCTGACACTCTTATATTTATTGATACACATCAATGTATTTGACTGACTCCAAGCATTTTTACAAAATTTTTAAAACAAAAACTAACACGGTCATTTATATATTTTTATATACTTTTTTTAACATATTCATATTATTAGGTACATTTACGAACTGCGGTATTTTTATTATTATACTCGGACAAACAAAAAGAAAACATTATAGGTATTTTAAATTTTTAAACATCATACGTTATCGTTGTTCGTACATCCTCATCATATGCAATGAATCACTGGCTTGTGGTATACATTATATAGATATAATACATAATAACAATAGTCACGGTATACTGAACACTGAGAATAATGCGAACATCGACCCTTTTGCTTAAATATTATGAGTTTAGAATTAATATACAGGATGATTCTTTTCATGAAAAACACTAATTTTAAATTTTTTCAAAAGGTTATAATATTTTTGAACACATAATTTTACAAAATTTGAAGTAATTGTAAAACAACATTTTTGTCAAATTATTATTTTCATAATATATATGTTTAAAGTTATAACAAAATACATATTATTATAAAACTCATTCAAAATTCAATTATTTTAAATTTAAATACTAAAATAATATTCTGTTTCGAAGTATGAATCAAAAATGTATGCTGTTTTCAAGAAAAATAATAAAACCTTAATAAATTATAAGGATAACAAATTGTAAAAATATAATGCTTTTTTTCAAATATTTTCTTTTTAAATGTTTTAAAATTATGTAAAAAAATATATTTTTAAAAACATTCATATTTTTCTAAATAACGAATATTTACTTTCAATATAATCACCTTGTATTAGTATAATAATAATGTAAGCGAGACGGCTTACGATTTACAAATAACGATGGGAACTGTGCAACGAAGACTAAAAACAATCAGAATACAATTTAATTTGTGGCTAGTGCTATAATGAGAACATTGAAAACGTCTTTCCTATATCTGTATAATATTTCAATTATTATTACGATGAAACTTACGAAATTTTTAGAAAACGAATTAATGTATAATATCCTAGCGGGACGTACCTTACCTATAATATTTATTATTCATTTTATTCGGTAGGTATATTACAATATAATACGTTGTCGTCGTGTATAAAAATTAATTGCCGTTTAAGTAATAATATTATAATTTATTAAAGTCAAAGGAAATAAAATAAACGCATTTGGGAGAAGTTGGTTGTGTTCACATCGTGAATCGTTATTGAACGATAAAAACATTAAACAACCTCTATAGGTAATATTACGATTTCAATAATTATATACCAGCTATAATAATTAAAATTTTATAAATATGGGAAATTCAGAATTCTTTTCATTCCACATTATTATATACTAGGGGTGGCCAAACAGTCGATCGCGATCGACCGGTCGATCGTGCTAGAATTTATTTTTAGGCTGCGCTCACGAAAATTAATTATGGTGGTATAGTAACTTAATAATAATAAAAACTTTTTTATCGAAGTCGATCCTCAAAGGTGAAGTATATTTTTAGTAGATCGCGGCCGAAAAAAGTTTGACCGTCTCTGTTATATACATTGTTATAATTTGTAAACAATAAACGAGTATAATATATAGTGTAGTGTATTGTAATATATTTACTTAAACAATGACTTTAATACATTAATGAAACTTCAAACTACGTGTTGTTAATAATTATTATATAACAATTGATAAGTTATGAATTATGATACTATATTTTAAACTGACGTTATAAGATTTAAAATGAAAATTTAAAAAATAATTTTTTCAAAAATTCAAATAATATTATAATATATATATATATATATAATGTAATAACAAGGAAATAAATATTAACTATCGAAGTAATTAAGTAGGTATGACATTGACACATATAATTGCTATGTCCAATGTAATTTTAACAACATCTAAATGTGTTTGCTATGTCTTAAAAATTAAAATTGTGTTTAAAATGACATATATTAGATATTTTAAAGACTACGGCATTTAATTTTCAAAAATATTCTATGAATATAATTATTAATTAACAAACAAACATCTAATTTACAATATACATATAGACCATATTATTATGTTTCATGCATGATAATATTAATATATTGTTATTATTACACTCTGTACCTATACGTAAACCTACTTAAGTGTCCAGCGTAACGACTCAACCACATATATTTATGAAATTAAATGTATTGTGCGGTCTACCTCTAAATATGTATAAAAAAATTAAATTTTTTTCCGTTTTTGTTTTTATGTATAATATATTTATTGAGAATATACTTAAACCGACCATTTTAATTTTACGTGTAAATTTATACACCTACTTTCTAATAAGAAATAACGTTATCAGTTATCACATAACCTCAGTACCTCATTTATTTTTATTTATAAATTAGTTTGGATTTTAATCATTTAATTCACGCTATGAAATATTGTACAATTCTCTTAATGTACTTTATCAAACATTAAAACATGATATAATTGTGGAAATTTATAAGTTAATTTATTAGATATACTATTTTACACTTAAATTCCTAAATTCTAATTATAACCTATTCTATAATATATTGTAACCATTATAGGTAATATAAATAATATATTTTCATACTTCTTACCTATTATTTACTATTTATGTGGTTAAATTACAATATGTACTTTAGCCAGTTCGTCATCATTACGTTCTAAT